TCACGCTCCCAAGCGGCGCACTGTAGCAGTGCGCCACCGGGCTGGCCCTAAAATGGCACTTTTAAAAAAAATTTTATAACAGCTTTTCGGTATGTAAATCACATACCATCATATAATTCACCCATTTAATATGTACAACTCAGTGGTTTTTTAGTATATTCAGAGTTGTACAACCATCACCATAATCAATTGTAGAACATTTTTTTCACCTCAAAGAGAAACCCTGTATTTTTTTTACCTATTGCTCCCCAGTCCCCCACCCCCTATTCCTAAGTAACCACTAATCTACTTTCTGTCAGAATTGGCCTTTTCTGGCCAAAAATGCCTATATATTTTTCATGTAAATAGAACCATGTAATACGTAGCCTTTCGTGACTGGTTTCTTTCACTTAACATAATGTTTTCAAGGCTTATCCATATTGTAACATGTATTGCTACATTTCTTTTTTATGGCTGACTAGTATTCAGTTGTATGGACATGCCACATTCTGTGTATTCATTAGCTGATGGACATGGCACTTCTTTTAATATTGAGAGGGAAGGATAAGAAAAAGAGGAAAAGAGAAAAATATATAGGATCAGAGCTAATAATGCAGAGGTAAATAGGGGATTTATAGGGGCTAGAGAAACATGTTAAAGAACAGTACAAGGTAAGCAGGCAAATCTAGAATGTGATAATTTCTTGAGAATAGACCACCTGGTTTCTTGTAAGATAAATAGCTTTAAAAAGAAAGACGGGGTGAAGGGGAGGGAGAGATGGCAGTAACTGTTATAGATTAAAAGACATTTAAGGGACATATCAGCCAAGTGTAGTATGTGGACCTGATTTGGATCCTGATTTGAATAAGTCAACCATAAACATACTTATTAGAGAGCTGGAAATTAATATGGATCAGATAGTAGAGGATATTAAGTAATTATTATTTGCTTTTGCAGATAGATGGTATTAAAGAATTATTATATTTTCATTAAGTTAATTTAAAAAAAATAATTTCTTAAGAATTTACTGAAGTTTTTACAAATGAAATGATATGTTCCCTG